TTTTTTTTCGAGCCCAAAAGATCTCTAGAAAAGGATTGTATGACCTCCAAAAGCCAGATAAGTCTTTTCTTTCCTTTCTTTTGACCTCTGTTGCCCCAGCTTACATCAAACAAAGTATATCTGTCTTTGTATTTCCTTGCAACTACTTTCTGCCGGACACCTGAAACAACTAGCTTTACAGTTGATAAAAATGATACCGAAAATTGCAAAGTGTACCTTGACGAGCCCAAACCCCAAAGATAATTTGTGCCCAGAGAACTCAATAACTTCCATTAATGTTCAATGATGAAAGAGGCAAGAAATTTCAAGCACGAACTCCCAACTTGTGCCCAATATTTCAAATCACATTTTCCTCACCTATCTTTAAAGTTACTATGATAACGCGCGAGTGCAAATCCTGCTTAGCTTCTAATGAGCCACCCTGATGGACATCTTTACGCAGGCATGGCCTTGTATACATAACACGACGTGTGCAGTTCACTTCATTTGGTAAGTTCCCGTCTAGCTTAGCCAAGCTCTCTTTCTCCGATTGAGGTACACTGTACATCTTTCGAAGCTCAACGAAAGTAGATATTTGCATAAAAAACAATGATTTTTAAGCTCTGTGAATAGACGAAAATAGCTTTGGAGTTGGCGTTATGTTATCCCTAAACGCAGGACGGTTTATGGCCGTAGCAAGAAATCTGAGCTCTCTTACCCTTCTTTAAAATAGTACGAAATATTTGAGTGTTGTTGAATCGGTTACTTGTCTTAAAAGCTTACAATTTTCAACACAAACAAATTCTCGTCGTAAATTCTAGCAAAAACTTATTCAAGCATGCTAAATGCATTTCGCAGGTGTTGTGACTGCGGGAAATTCGTTCGGTTTTCGCTTCCAAGTAGAAAATTTAGCACTTCCTTGTGAAAATTTTTGGTCTTGGAATATCTCTTGGTCTCACTTCATTTAACTCTTATGCTACCCACGTGCTCTGAAAACTTCCTGCTGCAGTACATCCATTTTATGAAATGCATGGGCCAAGCACGAACAAATTCTTAATTTTGGATTGTGATATTTATTTTGTTTTTGTTCTGTTTTGTTGTTCTCATTATTCATATCGAATAAACTTGGTTTAGATAAAACCTGTCCATGAAGATTTGATAAAAACCCTCGGAAACCGCTATTGAAGATTAAAATCTCCCCATCGCTTCATTGTGCATAAATTTTGATTGAATTATGAAAATGCACTAATAAAGAGTTGCTAAATAAAACTAATTTCAGTATGTTCATGGTTAGACATTCATATCATCTATCTATTAGCCACCTGTCGAGTGAGAAGTTTTGATGTTCTCGCTCATTCGCAGTCAGCATTCCTTTTGCATTATTGGAAACATAATTACTCTGCCTGCATTTCAACAACTTTCTCGCTGTTTTTATTAGCTTTGAAAAAACTTACTCATTACGCTTCCAAAAATTGCGTAATTCTGTATGTACATAACACAGGAAGGCTGCTATGACGAAGATAATATGCCTCGAATGCCGAGTTCTAAAAATTACAAGACACTCGTTTTGGTATATGTTTAACACCTGTCGGCAATATGTTTTCGAGGTGTATAAATTTTTACTACGA